TTAATCAGCTTATTTCGAGACATAACCACTGCTCACAATATGAAGATTCCTGGTACTTTATGAGTGATATAGGATATATTTTGACTAATTTAGCACTTTGCAATGCAGAAGTGGTCACCTACACGATTGGCAGGTCCTCCAAAATTTCTTCAAATTAGGCGTGGCCATGGCCGCGCTTGGCCACCTACTAGGTGTGGCCAGGTGTTGGCAGGGATATGACTCTGAATATGAATTAAGCCTAAAGGACACGTTTCAGTGGTACCTATCGAATATTCTTCGTGGACATTCGATGAGGCTGCGCACAAAAACGTCCCGGCTGAACCTTCGCCCTGAATTTGTTACGGAAGAGACGGTGGAGAAATGGAATGATCTCCCTTTATCAGTCGTTGGGATGATTGTGTCCCCTGTTGCCCCTCGACAGTCTGAACCTGAGCTGAATATCCCACGAACCGCCGCAAGTTTGCCTTTTAAACAGTGCCACTTAAGTCGTACGAGTGCTATTTTGATGGCGACAATTTTATTATCCGTAGACAGTTGTATTTAACGAACGGGCATGTAATCCATGGGGTTTTCAAATGCCTTGCCTGTCATCCTTGTGAAATAAGCTGGAAACTGAGGACGGATTGGAACAACTTGGTAGCCGGTTGAGGGCACACGTCCGACTTCGTGGCATTGGACGTTCTGAGTGACAGCGGGGCATAAATCACATTGTCTTGAGGGAGAGCATGTCTAATTCAGCCTTAAAGTTGATCGGCTGGTTTGAAACGCCGTGTTTGGTCGAGAACCGCACTGACACTGGACCTCCCGAGAGACGCAGTGCTGCAACAGGCGGCCGGAGTAGGGTCGTTACAATCTGTTGAGGACTGATCATCAGATCAGGATGACGTTTATTTAGACAGGTCCGGAAAAACTAGAAGCTATCAGACGTCCCGGTGGTTTTCACTTTAATTTTCTGAGAAATTCTTTGTAGAAGCGAGGAAGATATACGGAAATAAATTGAAGAAAAAACTGCATAATATACAGAGTTCACCCTTTTCTCTTTCCCTGTAAGACGGTGTGACCTCTACAATTCCGTTCCCGAATTTTCAAATGCGTCCGGATTTTCTTCTTTCATGTTTCGTTCTACCCGAGTTTCTCGAATTTACCTGTTATCGTAATTTTCGGGTGTGCAATGTTCAGCTTCCTTCATTGGATTCAGAAACAAATGAACCCAGGACATTTGGAATATTGATAGGAGCACCACAATGATCTTTCTCAAGGTAAGCAAGCCTTTAATTTTCCGGATTTTCGGAAAACGAGCTCATTTTTTCTTTTGGTGTTAATATTCTCGCAGATTCCAACGAGAAGGGAGTATCTTGTCATGGAAACTGTGCACTAATAGCAGATCCAGGGAATCAGTGCTACTTTCAACACCCGACTTTCGAGCCCCCAAATGGACGCTTTTTGACCTTTTTGACGCTGAGCGACCGGCGTTCTCAGTTATAAGTTTCTACTGGGCATCGAAATGCTTAAATTAAATGGAGTAATCTGAAAAACTTACCAGAATAAGACGCATGCACATCACAAACTCTGTACGGTCAGGCTCAAGACTTTAGGGTCAACGTAAAATAACTATTATATCTGGGGGTCCAGGATAAACTTGAATATGGGCATTGTTTGATTAATAAGAAAAGCTTGCGACTTTTTGATTAAGGTGTACGGCTTGTCATTGCACATGGATAAGTATATTATTGACGAATCTGTCATTGGAGGCATTTCTGAAGGCAAATATGATGAGAGTAACCAGTTAGTTCTTCCTGGCAAAAAGGGGTCTAAACAGAAGGCCAAAAAAATTGCTGCTCAACCCTTGCGGGTGTTGTCAAAGTCAAAAAGGAAGGAACTTCAGAAGCAGGTCGCTAAAAAAATCAAAAAACTATCAGTACGCTTATTGCGCATTACTCCAGTCTTTTAGCGAAGGGAACTTTGGAATGAATTGGAAGCATTCACTGCAAGGCCATCTGACACGTCGACCGCTGGGAATCTTTTCAGTCGTAATCGCAAAGCAGAGAGGAAAACTGAGAAGTTGTGACTTATTTAATTTTCTGACAATTAGGATTTCAAAATCACGCATAAGTACGACGCAGAAGTGGTGTCAGTCAGAACCTAGTTCTGAAGACGCATCCACGGATACTGACGAGTACAGTTCTTCCGAGGAGGCGCCCAAGCACGAGGATTCAGGTGTTTCAGAACCCCGTCAGACAACCGAACCGGAAGAGGAGTCATCGCTTGCATGCAAAGACCGAGAGGAAACTCCGGATGTTGCTGTAACCCATAAAAAGTCGAATTACGTTCTCGTTAATCGGGCGCCGGAGATACAGTCAATGCGCCTGGCTTTACCGATTGTTGCAGAAGAGTCCAATATTATGGAGGCGATTTCTGAAAATGATGTGATTATCATCTGCGGTGCCACAGGATGTGGAAAAACTACCCAAATTCCTCAATTTCTATACGAGGCTGGTTATACCCAGTAAGTATTTTTATATCTCCTTTTTACTGTATACGGCTCCCACGATAGATCCCAAAGTCCAAACCCTGGGCACTTCTTCCTAAAGACAATTTGCATGCTGTTGGGCTGGATATGCTTCTAGATTGTCTGCCTAACTACTAATTACAAGTTTTATTTATTCCACTTTTTAAATAAGCATAACACTATGGATACGATTGGTTGTTGATCCACCATTTTAATCCACATGAATTCGAAATAATATTATTTTGGATCAACAATCAATTACGACGTGTACCGTAGTCTGAAAGTAGACTTAGTGAATGCAGTCCCAAGGGTTATTGAAAGACCATCACATGTGTCCATCGACTTTCGACTTTTTTCCGACACTCATGTTAAACCTATCCTTGGTCACTGAGACATCTTCAGGCAAGCTCAATGCTACAGTTTTTATTGCCTGGTTCGTTTTACTTTCCGAAGAATGAGATGAAGGCAGCATAACCCAGTGCCATCAGATAGATTCGGCAAAAATATCCACGGTCGCTCAGTGATGTCTTTGACCTTCCTGTCTTTGTTTTTTTTTTAATTTTCGCGTTAGTCGCCGGATTACCGTTAACCCAGCACATTATTGCGTTTGTAACAAAATTTCAAAATCACTGATTCGGCCTCCTCCATGTTGTCGGTCCACTGCATTACGACCGGTCGTTTTCAATTCCATTCTGTCGTAGTCAGACAACCGAGCCACTTTAAGCATAGGTACTGAAACCAAAAGCGCGGTCCAAGCCTCTCGTCGTCGTCGTCGTCGTCGTCGTCGTCATCATCATCATCATCATCAACAACAACAACAACACCATCGTCATCAACGGCAACAGCAGCGGCAACAGCAGCATTGTCAGGACCACCACCTGCCTACATCTGTTCGCTGAGGCTGCCGGATTTCTGAACTGGCTCATTTTACATATCCTACCAAACTTCCTATAGTTGTTGTTACGTAGAGGGTTTTAGAGGTTCCAAGCGCCTTTGTCTCAGACGCGCTTTCCATTCTGAAGTTCTGTTCTGCAAGTACTCTTCTACGCGGACTCGGGAGAGCGCGTTCTTTGGCGACACAGGCAATTACAATTACATGCCAGTTCCCTTGGATCCCCTATTAACTCGTTTGGTAGTTCTGGCTGACAGGCCTATAATAGAAACAAAGACCTTAAGGGAGACTTTCGGTAAAATCTCAAATGCCGAACGTTCTAGTCTGATTTATGAGAGTAATTCAAGGTTAAGGCGCAGGCGGACCCTAGAAACTTTGTGATTAGTCGCTGCCGTTACCGTTGATGCCGACCCCGTGCATCGACTTGTCATGCTAACTCTCTGCTCTGACTAATTCCACTTCATCAACTGCGTTCCCATTTCAAGTTTTAATTACTATACACCAGTTGAAAGATGACCATAACACTATTTCAAGGTACTAATTTCCGATCTTCTCGCCCAGTCTTGTTTTAAGTGGCTGTGACCGCTTGATTACGATACTACCATCCTTCGCCAATTGTGTTTACGAAATATTGACTTTGTAAGATATCATCATGTCGCTCGGGTAGAAGCGTTTCTTCAAGTACCATGGCGCAACAGGGATGCACTTTTATAAGCGGTTCTTTTGGTATGAGACATCCAGGTGTCAAACAACCTAGAGATTAGGCACAAATTAAAAACAGTAGTTGGAAGATTTTTATCAATTCCCTGAGTCATAACATGTGACGGTAGGGAATTCCGGTTGATTGTGCCCGGCTAAGCTGTCTGTGACACCGGGGAATTTGTAAATGAGATCAAAAGATGAAAGCCCCCACCCTGAATCTGGCCTAACGTTTAACTATTCTTACTTCAGAAACAACTACAAAATCGGCGTTACAGAGCCCCGGCGAGTAGCGGCAATCTCCATGTCTGAACGCGTCGCTGAGGAGCTGAATCTAAAGGAAGGGCAAGTACTCTGTTCGTATTTTAGATATCGACCCGGCTACTGAGTTCTAGGGAGTCTAGGTTTGAAAATTGGAAATTTTGCAGAGAATGAACATCAATTGTTACACATACACCATCGTATTTTTCGACAATCTTTTTTTAGCAAGAGGTTCCCAAGTCGATATGGTGAAATAAAAATGAAAAAGTGTACATCGCCAAGACTTACCGCGCGACCTCGTTCTCGTCAAAGACTTACGGGCATAGTTGATGTGTGAATAAATGCAAAGAAAAATTACTTTTGCTGTGCAAGTAGCCATTTCTTCCATTTGAAGTAGGAGAAACTGTTGATGACAAATGAAATAGAACAAATGACCAAATTGCAAAAATGTTCTCTAAATTGCGGCTTATCAAATCGCAACAGTTGGTTTTCTCAAGCCGAATCCACATCAGAGCACGGTTGAGCGCCAGCAATGCGCAAGGTGTGGTTGTTGACGAATTTGAGCGACACACTTATTGCTGGGTTTTTAAGTTTGCTACTTCAGTTTTTTTTCTGCGATCATAAGGCATAGTCTGCAAATCAGTTTTGGTCGTTAGCGAGTAGTTTTGATGGGGATGGTGCTTATCACTCAATGTTGGTTGCAGGGTAGAATATTCCTCACTGTGCCCATAGGCTGACTTGGGCTGGGCTCTTTGAGAATCGTATTGGGTGTGGTCTCAGATTGACCAATAAAGGCGGCTTTTATTTACCGGTAAAACGCATAAAACGCAGGTTTAAATATTTTCTTCTTTACTGGGTTCCGACATTACTCGTCGAGGTCATCTAAACACTAATTCGCCCCAGTTTTGGGCGATTCCCACTTGTCTGGTTTTTTGGTACACGTTATGCTGTCTGACTCACGCCTTTTTTGTTTCAGTGAGGTCAGCTATCACATTCGGTACGAGAAAAATGTGTCGTCCAAGACACAGATTAAGTTCATGACGGATGGCATTCTCCTGCAGGAAGTAAAAAAGGTGAGTTCCCCGCCGTCTCAAACCCCATTTCACTTGAATGCTTGCAACGACTTGGGAAAAGCTTAACGTACGGTTCTTTTTTCACAGAATTTTGAGCTTGCCGAGTATTCTGCCATAATAATCGACGAGGCGCACGAACGGTCCATCTACACGGACGTTCTTCTGGGTCTGCTTTCACTCATCGTACGCCTGCGTCGGCGCAATTTTGAGGACGCAAACAAGCCGGAAAGTCCGCTGCCGCTGAAACTGATTATAATGTCGGCTACTTTGCGTGTGGGCGACTTCGCAGACAATCGTCAGCTCTTTCCCCCTCCGAGGAAGGAGGCGGCCGGCCTGAAGCCGGCCAACACCGTCGATGAGGGTGTGATCGAGGCTGCGCGACCCGGCGCCCCACCTGTTATTCAGGTGGAGTCTCGCCAGTACCCTGTGACCTGCCACTTCTCCAAGATCACGCCGGATGACTATCTAAAGGCGGCTTTTCGCAAGGTTTGTCTTGTTCCACCCAATGCTCTTACTAGTTTTGATCTGCAGTCGAACGTTTCCACCGCATTTATAGTTGTCACAGAAAATTGTTGAAAACTCGGTAGGTAGCAAAGTTCGTAGACTATTGACCCCTGCAATTATTGGAACACTCATTTTGTTAGTTTAGACTTGGAAATAGGACATATATATATATATTTTTTTTTAAGTAGGCGTGTGACCCCCACTGTTGTGGTTCGGATCTCACTCGGTCGCATTCTGTCCGCATGCCAGCTTGCTACTGGCGACAAAGAATGCTGTGTCATAGGACACATACCACATACAATACATAAACAGCTCACAAAGAGTGCACCGGCCCAGACGCAGATGGCTGTTTCACGGTCTTTACCGATCACCAGTGGTCATAGGCCTTATGTCCAGTAGGCGTGTGACCCTCACTGTTGTGGTTAGGATCACACTGTGTCTGGCCTCTTGCACTCTCTCTCGAGCCCAACCAGCAGCCGCACAGCGGCGCATGATATAGGCAGAATGGTATTACCGACAAAGACAAGGGAGACTGGAATGACCATTTCTGGCTTATTAACCGTCGTCAGCCAGTCATACTCAACCCCGAAGTGTGGGGCACCTGAGGCTCGAACTCGCAACCTGTTAGTTAGAACCCAACGCCTCTAACCGCTGGGCCACGAGCCCATTGCCCAGTCGGTTTCGATCGGGAATATACAATGGTAGGGGGCGCTCACCGATCGTTCCTAGAGGCTTTGACTTCTAACCATTGCCTTGCCAACAGAGCCTGTTGGGTGAGGGAGGGGCGTGTTCGGTAGATGCTGTGCAAGTCGTCGGTTTTGTGCCCAATCCATCGGGCGCATGGTGGACGTAGCACACGACGGTCGAAACGTCATGTCATGTTCCCACTTGCCGGCCTTGATCGGGGCAGCGGGTTAGACCGAATGTCCCGAAAGTCGCCGCCTTTGTCCAAGTCATGTTCTACCCTCGAGGGAGGAATGTAGTGGATGCACACCTGGCATGCCCTTATTCCCAACTCGTTCCTTTTTTATCAAGGTTGTCACCCTCCATCGTGATTCGCCTCCTGGCGGGATTTTGGTCTTTCTGACTGGCCAGCGGGAGGTGAAAACCCTGTGTTCCTGGCTGACTCGCTGCTTCCCTCCCAACACCAGCGCCGGACAGACGGCGGCGGCGGTGGAAAAGCGGACAAGCACAGCCAAAAAGCGACGCGCCAGGAAAAAGGCTGAGCAGGAAACAGTTGACGGTTCTTTGGCGCCGAAACAGGCTCTACCCACAGCCGAATCAGAGGAGGACGAGGAACCGACGACGGAGAAGGAGACAGCGACGCCGAGCTCTCGTTTCGACCTTGACAAGTGAGTACACAAGGATGCTGACTCTGTGTGATACGTTGCGGTTAAGCGGTGAGAGTTTGCACCCAGAGCGCTACAATCATCAGGCTAAGTCCCAAGTTGTGGGAAGGTAGCAGAATGAAGGGTTCATTGTATACAGAACCAGGGGTTGTCCACTCAGGCGGCAGTGGCCGCTGGCGAAGCCAGGACTGATGTTGACTGCGTCCAGTCGTGCCTGAGAGTCTGTGGGACAGTGGTAGCAGCCGCTTTTGTAGGTCCGTAGGTTCAAGTGGTCTCCAGGGGAGGTACGTTCAAGTGATCGCATGGGCAGCTGCGACGGTGTGGACGCAGGTATGCCCGAACTGTAGTCGGTCGAGTGGCCTCATGTCAGCACGTCTGGAGCGGCTCGCTGCAATGGGTGAATGACCTTGAGGCAGCGGGTCCCTGAGCAATGACGTCAGACTGGCCACGCTGGCTGCCGCAGCCGATATACGGCTTAGCCCAGTGAAGTATTGGAATAATTGGTTATTCTGATAGTCAAAAAGTTAATTCTGGAAAAATTAGCGTGCCTCGCGGGCAGGTTTACGAAACTTTTGGATGTGTGGTCGCACAGTTCTTTAAACAAGCGTCTGAGGTCATCTCAGGATCACACTTTTTTTGCGAACCGGGACGCTCATTCTTTCAATCAGTCGATTTTTTGCGAAACTGTCGTAAGAAAGGAACTTCTTGTCGATGCTCTTAGTAGAAAGCACAAACTGCGCGAGCTTCGAAAATAGGGAAAAAACGTATGCTACTTGGGTAGGGAATTCTTAGTCCATGAGGTCGGCGCGGACGGGTGGAAAGTTTAAGTCAGTGAACATGCCATGACATGCCTCATGTTAATCCGTCTTGCGACCCAACTTAAACGATATGTTCTTTTGAAAAGTCGTGTTATTGGTTTCACACATTGTTTTATGGGTTTATGGAAACGCTGTATGCGTGCCGGAATTGTCGCTGCTGGTACAACCACCTAGTTATCACCCCTTCTCCTTTTGACCGTCCTTATTTATTAATGCGACATTCCTGCCTAGTCGGCTACGCCCTAATTATCCCGCTTTTGTCACATTCCAAAGCTTCGACATTATTCCTGCTGACGAGGAAAGCGAGCTTGGCCTACGTACTGGTACCTCTCGTCTTGGCCATAGCCGCACCGCAACGCCCAGTACCAATGACAACCGGGAAGGTGCATCAGCTGACCCTGCCCAGAGTGCCTCAGAGGACGATGAGGTCGACATGGAGGATGTCCTTGACGCCAAGGTTCTAGAAGAGCTCGAGGCGGATCACAAGATCGCACCCGCGGTTAGTTTACTAAAAGTGCTGTCTCGTTGTCCCTCGAGCTATTATCCAAACTACTACTACTACTACTACTACTACTACTACTACTACTACTACTACTACTACTACTACTACTACTACTACTACTACTACTACTACTACTACTACTACTACTACTACTACTACTACTACTACTACTACTACTACTACTACTACTACTACTACTACTACTACCACTACTACTACTACTACTACTACTACTACTACTACTACTACTACTACTATTACTACTACTACCACTACTACTACTACTACTACTACTACTACCACCACCACCACCACCACGATCCTGACCAGTGGTGGTTAGAGTGTTGTGACGACCCGTAGTACGATATATCCAGAGGTGTCTGACTGGTCCAATCCTAGCCCTAAACGCACATTTACAACACCCCATCATCCTTACCTACGACTGTCCCTGAAGATAAGTTTAAGGGAGAATCCGAGATGTCAGGCAAATAAACTTCCGGTTCTAGCGGTTGCATCCTTCTATAAATTGCTTCCTGGAACTCACCGCCTCGCTTTTATCGGGTTGTTGTTATCATGAGGGTGTCACCAGCTAACAAGAATGAACAACAACAAAACTTATTCACTATATTGAAGATAAATTACTCGCCTCATGCATTGAAGTGGAAGGGTGTACATGGATGAATTGGATGCGAAGAAATGGTGGCTCAGTTTGAAGCCTGTAATTTGCATGTAAGTTACGGGTAACCAAAGTGGGGCTACTATTAGGTCATTCCAGGGCGATGCTGCACTAGCCAACGCACTGGAGTCAACCATCCAATAGTGTCTGTCGCAGGAGTTTCAAATTCTGACGCCATTCGACACAAAAACTCGCTAAATGTGTCGATAGACCGTTGCATTCGGCGTTGTCCTCACGAAGCGGGCGCAATGCCGGCGAATTAAATTTGAATTCGTTCATAGTAAGGCAAATTTGGGCACCATCATCGGCACCCCTCTTACCTCACCTACCTTGCTGCGATGGCAAGGCTTCCAGGCTGGCGCGGACGAAGCTAAACAACCCGTCTACGCGTATCACACGCGACCTGGTTGCCGCTGCAAGATCGGCCCGGATCCCGCATGGATGAAACAACATTAAGAAGTCATTGCGACCTTACTGTCAGTCTCGCGAAGATGATACTGTTGATACTGGCGGTGGGAGTGGTTGGTGATTTTGCCCTCCTAAAACGGGGTCCACACGGTAAATGCACTGGACCGACACGAGGCTAGATCGGAGTCCGGCACGCGCTATTGGGAATACGCACCCCTAGTAGATCCCAACATTGGGATGTGGTGACACGCCCAGGTGGAGGCACACGCCGCGCTAATTAGGGTCCGAGTCACCCCATTTTTTCTTGTTGTATAAGGTCCTGGCCAGTGTAAGTTATGGATCAGAGATGTAGTGGCGCGCCAGCCACCCGCGCCGTCTTCCGCCGCCAGTCTTCTAGACTTTGTCATGACACCGAGCCCAGGTGAGGGAGGAGGAGGAGGAGTGCGGTAGATGCAGTGCAAGTCTACCACCACTTTAGACTAACTCACGCCCCCAGGTCACCGTCACTGCTCTCAACGTGCTGTGGAGCAGCACACGGTGGACATTGTCGGTCACGACAATCGAACTGTCGGGCGGTGATGATGACGACGGCAATTACACAAGAAGCGTCCGTAGTGACCGTGTTTATTCCTCCTGTAGGCGCCAATCCATGCCCTCCCCCTCTACTCGCTCCTTCCCGCGGAGCAACAGAAACGGGTTTTCGAGCCACCGCCAGATGGCCACCGACTCGTGGTTGTGGCCACAAACGTCGCAGAGACCTCGCTGACCATCCCAAATATCCGTTTCGTGGTGGACACAGGCAAGGTATGTGTGTCTGCATGCTTTTGTGTCCTGACTGTTTTTAGCCTGAACGGTAGAGAGCAGTGTCGGAGCTTAACGCTCCCGGTGGGATGCAATTGCAGCACTTTTTAAGTTTTACCCTCGAGAGGCGTGTTTGATTGGAATGACTAGTACATTTTGTCATCCATCACTGATTTAAGCATCTTAAATTCCAAAAAGAGCCCCTATTCGTATTGATGTTGAATTTGATATCCATAATTTAAAGAAGTTGATAAAATATCTTAGCAACATATTCTGCGCGAAAAAGACTTTCTGAAACATGGTAATCCAATATGTAGGAAGCACAACGTACGAAGGACCTCAAACTAAGTATCTAGATTTCTGTCAACCCGTTTCAGGATGCAGCTCGGAAGCTGGTTAAGGTGTTGCCTAAATTCCAATTTTTTCTGCTCTCTTCCTCTCTCTAACCCCCCCTCCTCAATTCTTTCACCTGTGAAGGTGAAATCAAAAGTTTTTGACCCGGTTACGGGAGCCTCCTGCTTCAAGATCGTCTGGATCAGCCAGGCCTCGGCGGAACAGCGTGCCGGTCGCGCCGGTCGTATTGGTCCCGGCCACTGCCACCGTCTGTTCTCCTCGCGCGTCTTCACTGACATGGAGCCTCACGGCAAACCCGACATCCTCACGCGCCCCATCGACGAGGTTGTGCTCCTGCTCAAGGTGGGCTGCTGACTGCACGTATATGTTTGTATATATATATATATATGTAGATTATATATTATGTTATATATATGTGGTAGGGAGCGCTCACCACATATATATATATATATATATTGCTGATTGAGGCGAAGATAGATTATGAAATGGTAGGGAGCGCTCACCGATCGTTCTTACGAAACTCACTCATTCCGTTGTGCCTTATGGGCTCTTTCTCGAGTCGAACCAGCAGCCACACAGCGGCGCATGATATAGGCACAATGACATTATATGCATATATATTCAGAAGGATAGAGAACACGCGTGGCCCAGGTAATTGAATAGAAGAAGATGGGAAGGCGATCGCTGGGACCGATTGTTTATTTATCCGACGTTTCGAACTCTCGCGCGAGCCCATCGTCAAGGGATGAAAAACTGTACAACTCATCGTATATTTAGCTCATCTCTGCCGGCGGTGACCTCTAGCTGCGCTGCTGATTTGCTCACGCAGTGCCTGATAGGCGATTGGCAGATTGATATGTCGATTAATCGAGTCCTCGGTTGACTGCCACGCTTCCTGCAGCAGGCGAGCAACTCGGTCGTCCGACTGGCCCATTATTCTCACGCACTGAAAGTCGAAGCCGTGTCCTGGCGTGGAGGCGTGGGCGGCTACCAAGAAGAGTTTATCCTTCCGTCTCACAGCCAACTCGTGTTCGTGCAATCTCGTGCGTACCTGTTTGCCGGTTTCACCAAAATAATTGACTTGGCCACAACTGCAGTCTATCCGGTAAATGGCCCCCGATTTCTGATTGATGGGAATCGGGTCCTTAGGGTCCTTAGATTATTGATAAAAGAGGGGAGACGAGAATGGCCATTTCCGGCTTATTAGGCACCGTCAGTCAGCCATACCCAACCTCAGGTTCTTTGGAACCCTTGAGGCTCGAAACTCCAACCTGTTGGTTAGAAGTTAAACGTCCCTAACCACTAAGACACGGGGTCGATGCCCTGTCGATTTTGATTGGGAATATTGACAATGGTAGATGGACGCTCACTGATCGGTTGCGTGAGTCACTCGCCCCGTTTTGCCTTTAGGGCTCGATCAAGAGTCCCACCAGCAGTCGCTTGGCGACTAGATTGCCTACAAAAACAAGGGAGTTAACAGTGGGATCCAGATTCTGCTGTTTTTTCCCGTATGGATACTACCGTTGCAGCTCGCGGGCCATTGACCGAGATTATTGAGAGTTGTTTACCCGCAAACGCAGGACCCGGTCCGGAGATTCGAACCGCACGTCTGTTCGCCATTCAGCAACGCCTTCACCGTTGCGCTAACGGGCTTGTGTCATGCTTAGTTGCCTCACACACCGTGACATGTTTGCTTTCGGCTGAAGGGCCCAATAATCTCCAGCGACATTTTCACTCGTGGAAATTGCTTCTTAGGTACTGGAAGCATTTCAACGGTGTTTTGGTATAGACACAGTTTCTCCTTCATGTAGCATCGTTTTTAATACTATAACGTGCTTACTTATTTCATCTACGTGGACATGTTATGTTAGGGCTACGGTTAGGTTTAGGATTAGGGTTAGGCTAGACGTCATGGCTGGGGTTGGGGTTAAGGTCGGGGTTAGTGTTTAGTCCGCCTGTCGCATACATTCTTTCCCACTCTGGCCATCTTTAGCCAATTAACACGGATTACTTGTTTTCCGCCCGTTTACGCGCTCGTGATTTGCATCTTTCAAAGTACGCGGTCTGCTCGGGCACCTCGTTGGACTAATAAAACAAACATATGGCAGAGATGTTATTTTACGCAATACCATCTACATTCATGGAACTCCTATTAACGTCCTTCCCGTACTACAGGAGTCCCTGTGCTCTGCTTTTTTTCAGTGGGCTTGCATATACAATCCTCGCCCATTTCTTAGTCCGCTTGTGAGAGCCCTAAATTAGATGGTAAGTGAAATGGAACTCCAAATCATCTTCTAGGTAACATTCTTGCTCAACTGTGCGTACGGCTGTACCTGCAGGCAACGCTTAGCATACATTCTGTCTGTCAAGGGGCATTGTTTGCATATGTCACATAGAAATGCGTGAAGAACACCAGAGAACCAAATTTCCCTGGACGATACCCCTTTTGAGATTTACTCGTGTTCTTAAACTCGCCGCTGGTGTCAGTAAACTCTCATCTCTCTCGCCAATATGTTGTGCAGTCGAAGGTATGTATTTTCAAATAAACGAAAAGTTCGATTGGATTGGTTTATAGCTCCCCCTTATGCCACAGTCTGGTACGTGTTGCGCTAGGCAAAAATGAGGCCAACATTAATTCATGACATCTATTCAGTAAAAAAGCGGGAGGTTTCAACTATTGCTGCACGTGCGCGTGGCGCGCGGCCTCTCATGCCACACATCTTTTAAAGTGCGCAGTTTGTTCCAGAACCTCTTTGAAGTAGTAAAAGAAACATACGGCAGGAAACACGAGCTTTCTCAAGACCTTCCACGCATTTCGTTATTTGCCGCCTCTGTTCCACTCATCAAACCTCTATTAACATCCTTTCCGTAGTAAAGGAGTACCTGGATCCCGTTTTCTCGGTGGGGCTGCACATTAAATCCCCACCCTTTTAACAAGCCAGGATATTGCAGGCGTAATGTAAGTGGTGGGGGAAAGAATGACTGAGACAGCCAAAAAGCAAGGTCAACGGCTGAGTCGCAGATGGTAGTACTGAACGTCGAATTTATTTAAGTACTCCTACTTAAAGGTGATTGAGTTTGTAGAACCCCGGAAATATTAGGCGATAGGCAGCACAAAGATACCAGAAGACAATGTTTCGTTTCTGCTAATTTCATGGGATACAGAGGTTGTGGAAAAGACGTGGCCTTAAACCGCCCGTATTCTACACGGCCTGGAGTACTAGGGGGAGTTGTCTATAGGACAGTTAAGATAGAGCGAATACTGCTGATTCAGGACAGTCTTCTTTCGATCACTTGGCTCCACGTTCAAGTGACGAGCATGCTACCTGTTTTACTCGTTTCTGGAGGTTTTCTCACGTCATGTCCATCATAACCCAGTAATGTCCCGTCGTCTTCATCGTCTCCTAGTCCTACCTCGGAAGTATCGCGCTGTCTCGTTTTCCCCTGCCGACTGCGCCCTCCCCCACAGTCGTCGAGGCGGCCGAGAGACGCCTCATCGCCCTGGAAGCCCTCGAAGAGAAGAAAGTGAATTCTGGTAAGCACAACTGCTCCCTTCTGTCCCTTGTCCCACCGCACACGTATTTAAAATCCGCTGATTGCACATGGCAGTGCGTGGGGCTGTGGAAAAGTCATTTTGCTGCCTACCGCCTGCCCTCCATGGGCAAGACGGCTGCTAGACTTCGAGGGAGGAAGGTGGAGATGGAAAAGTAGAAGGTTCTCCAATGGAAATGGAGATTTAGTGACGGATGGACAGTCGTTTTTCGCCCTTGACGCTGGAGAGAGTAGCTGACTGGCCAGCAGCACGTACGAGAATTAGAAATTCGGCAGAAAGGGTCACGCAGATTGCAGAAGCCTATACAGTAGGTGGGCTAACTCATGAAATGTCAACCGAAATTCCGAAATGGGTTTCCGTTTCGAAAAGATTAATTAAGTAGGGTTGGAAAACTAGTCGGCTTGCAACATAATTCTGTAATAATTCCGTTAACTCAGGATGCCGGCTTTCGAATTAACCTCCTTCCGGTTGCATGAAAAACTATATTCTGTAAAAAAATGACTTCATAAGTAGCATTAATTTTTCTCATTGATTTTCGATGCCCCTAAAAGTCCAATTATATTTTATGGAAAACATGCATAAAAATATTCGTTCTTCTGCTCATTCGGTAGAAAAGAATGTCTTCTTCTAATTTTGTACTCGAAGGAGGGACACAATTCGGTTTTAAAAAAGTTTCTAATTGTGGGACTTTCAAATACCGTGAAATGGCCGTTCATAAATCGCCATATCTCTGCATTTACCAATGTGGTTTGTAAAGTTAACAATACGGATCAAATCCACTGATAAATTTTATGAACTCTATAGGGTCCCACCTTTATTACCGTAGAGAAGTGTGTGGTTTTCCGCACGCGGAAAATGTACGGCTTGTAGATTGGAAACTCTGAATGCAAGTGTAACGGCATATCGGGGGTTCAAAATTATTCGGGAATGGGAAAAGTTTTTGAAAGCCAAATTATACCCTTCCCTCGAGTATAAGATTGGAAGAAGGCGTAATTTTCTACCGAATGAACAAAAGAATGAATATTTTTATGCATGCTTTCTATGAAATATAATTGGACTTTTGGGGGCATCGAAAATCAATGAGAAAAATCCATGCTACTTATGCATTCATTTTTGACAGAGTGTGGTTTTTGCATGCAGCCGGAAGGAAGTTTATTCGAAAGCCGACATCCTAAGCTGACTGAATTATTACAGAATTAAGCTGTAGGATGATTAGTTTTACAAGCCTACTTAATTAATCTTTTCGAAACGAAAACCCATTTCGGAATTTCGGTTGACATTTCAGGAGTTAGCCCACCTACTGTATCCACAGGCTCCGCTCGATTCCTGAGATCATTCGGGAACGTTTTAGCGTTGTCAGGCAGGATGACATCCGCTGACCTGTACCGCCCCGAGGTGCACGTACAACTGAAATACCTAGGTTGGTGCATTGTTCTACACACTACGCATTATTTTTAGTACGAGGAGGGCTTGTTTTTTTAAAAAAAACGTTCGGCACGGAGAGCAGTCAGGCAGTAAAAAATGCCCAAGATATTGTTAACTGGAGTGCACACGTCTTTCAGTAAAACAAGAATCTTAAAACGCTCGGGAATTTGTTAAACAGCTGTTGTCGTTGTCTTACCCCGCGCATCTACTTAATCCTCGCTCTCAGACTTAAGGTCTCGGATCATGAAGCTAAAATTCCCCTTGGGGGCCTGCTAATGCGCGCTGGTGATCTCTAATAGACGCGAAAACATCGTCTCCGTTTATCCTCATTGCATAAGATCGCCTCCTCTGGACGGTGAATGCTGGATTGCATTGTATAACAGCACATTCATTCGGCAGAGCCGGCCGGACACGCTTGGAAATTGAACACAAGACAGTCATCAGGGTCGTAGCATAGTCATAGAAATCAACGGCCAGAGGCAGTTGCTTTCGTATCCTCCCATATGTGTGTTTTTTTTTCAACCAAAAAGGTGTCATCTCAAAAGCCACCCTATCCGCGATCACCTGCCTTTTTTGGTCTCACAGAGCCGGTACGCGTGATCACCCGCGCCGGACGGTGGATGGCACGTCTACCACTGCCGGTGCGACTGGCGCGGATGCTGCTGTTTGCCAATCAACACGACCTCATGCCCTACGCGGTGATCCTGGTTGCAGCCCTCTCCGTCTCCGACTTCTTTCTACCCGAGCCTGTCGAAGAGGAGGAGCCGGCGGAGGAGGAGGATTCAAATGTGGTTGGTGCAAAACGACGACGACGGCAGAGGACCGAGGCCGAGCGAATCCTGGATCAACGCACCACTTTCCAACGGCAGTTTGTGAAAACGGTGGGTGTACATACACTTCCCTGTCCACACATTCGGCTGAATGCTGCCTTCTACTGCTTTTCCGCCACTCATTCTTTTGCGTTATATTAGCCTCTTGCATGACATCGCTGTTTTCCAGCAAGGTGATCTCCTTCTGGGCGATCTGGCGGTGCTTCTGGGCTCAGTCTGTTGTCTGGAGCGCTATTGGGCGCAGTTGGCGGGAGTCCTACCGATGGAGGATTCGCAGCTTGAACACCTCGTCTCCACCAATCGCGTTTCCCGCCTGAATCCTGAGTCCACAATGCGTCAACTGGCACAGAACTGCGGTATTCGCTGGAAGGCCTACGTGGAGATTCGACAGCTGAGACGACAGCTCACCGACATTCGTAGGTGTTTACCTGCCCACAATGCTACTGCTAATGATATTGGCTTTTTGGTGATAATTATTATTACCGGTGTACTCTCTGCTCATGCCAGTAAACGCCAACGTTCCTGATCTCAATCTGACCGTCGATCCATCTCTCCCCAAACCGACACCGGCGCAAGTGGAGAGTTTGCGGCAGCTCTTTCTGGTCGGTTCAGCCTGTCATCTGGCCACCAAGTTTGACGTACCCGTGGAGGGTCTGCCGGCAAAAGACAGACGAAGGCTTCGGTATGCCTATAAGGTAAGGCGCCATCGGGGTTTTTCTTCGACGTTCACTTGCCCAGTAGTCTGACCGCCTTGACTCACAGCGTCCACAGGCTGTACTTGCGGTTCAGTTTTTCTTTCAGGAAATTCTGAAAAGTCGTTAAGAAGCTGACGTTTTAGTAATTTGTTCTGCTGTCAATTTTACAGGACTGAAGTGAACAAAGATCGCTTATGTCGCGGTGGTCCTCGCGCCTTGTCCTATCTGCTTTCTGAAAACCGGATGCAAAGATGGTCGAGTTCCCGTCATCAGGAACGATCTCTTCTGTCCGCGTTTGCCGAATTACCGACTAAAGCTAGGGCATCCGGATGCGGACACAAGGGGGGGGGGAGAAACCGTTCTATCCGGATGCCTTCTTGTTGTACAACTTCACTATCGGCACTGTATAGACTGAGGACTGATAAAAGTGCGCTGTCGAGGAGAGAGAAGGTGATGCGTTGCCCACCAAAGAAGTTGAGAAGTGCTCACGCCCAACACACGGGACTATCTGGGTTTTCAATAGTAAAGTTGGTACTCCTAGTTACTCATAGCAGAGAACTACTACAAGCTCGTCGAAGAAGTTAGTAGGGTTTTGGAGCATTTCCCAAGTTAAAGACTTGTCGCATTGATGTAGCCGCTAAAGCCTAATCGCCTTCTGCGGTCATCTCCAGCCGATTTTTCGATGATTTTTTCAGAGAACTCAGGCAGAATCCTCGTTGTGAGACCCAAATTTGACTGCATGGACAGAATTTTTTAAAGTTCCTGAACGGATTTTCAGATTGTGAAATGGCGCCGTTACATGAATATGAGAATTCCCTCTGTCGCCTTACGGACTGTGAAGGGTTACATGGTGATCCAATACCACTGAGACGTGAGATTACAGTCCTTCATGAGACTTTGTAAGCTTCGACGAGAAGTAAGCCTTCGGGCGCGTTCGACCGACACCAGTTTCGACGTCACATTGTGGTCTGGTATGTAGTTGCTGTGACTGGCCGTATGGCGGTCGTCTAAATGCCAGTTTGGCCGATGTTTGAGGCGACGCTGGTGGCATGTACTAGGAGCAATCAGCATGTACTGGTAGAAATAAGCCTATTCTGTTCAGTGAAGCTCAACATCCTCACACCACTGTCGCATCGACAACTGTGGCCAGTCAGGTAGCCTGAGTGAAGTTGCCTGATCCAGCCCGGCCACTTTAGTCTCCGATAGTAATGATTAGACTACTGCGAGAGAGTTTTTCGATGAGTTCTTACCGTCGTTAGTAGAATCTTTATTCATGGTGCCGGTCGGCAGTTGATGTTGAGGCATAGAAACTACGGAGATTTTAAGTAAGCTCCGCTTCAGTTCTACGTGAATTGGCAGGTCAATGACGTGTTCTCAGCCAAGCAACGCATAGATCGTCTGTCTGGAGAAGGCACTCGCCACAGCATATCTGCTTACCAGAAGAGTCGCGTGGGCGGATGTGATCTTCAGCGTCCGAAGACATCCGCGTTGTACTGATGAAGACCGAGTGCCGTCGTACTTTGGATATCAGGATCCAGGAACTTTCACGCATCTCAACACCTAATGCCAGGGGCCTCCGCCCGCTGAACTAGCCCAACTCACATACTTGTCCCCTCGAGTGGGCGAGGGTTGCGGGGCGCGTCGGTTTCAACGGACGCTGTAGCACACACTGTGTTAGCACTCTCGGCCGTGTTCTATATGAAGCTTCTTAACGATTCTGAATACAGATTGTGCGTGTTCACCAAAATCTCTATTTTTTCTAAGAGGCGCCTGAGGGAATGAGTACATAATAGATGCACCTAGCGGAATGCAGCGATACCCATGTTATTTTCGATGTTAATACTCACTGTTCAGCAATTGTCAGTTTGGTGTGTTTGCGTGTTGCACCGGGAAATATTTATGCTTTACCTCGCTTATTGAACTTTAAAAATACTGGCGTTTACTCGATGTGTGAGGGAGTCGATCGTGAAAATATTCGTCTGCTCCAATTCCGCGTTTGCAGCTTACTGTTTGTTTTGTTGTTACGTCTCCAGAAAGTCATGTATCCGTTTTACTTACACGCGCTGGTTGTTGTCGTCCTCATATGATAAAGGAAGAAGCAGATTTGTAAAACATCGGAACAGTTTGTTTACTGTTCTGAGGTTTCAAACTCGTTCAGGGATCCATCGTCAGAGACAGTAGCAGCAACAAGACGAGCGAAATTTAAAGGGCATGATAACCACTCATTGATCGACGGCGCAAGACTGCAGGTGACTGCAAAGGGCTCCGTACGCCGGCGTCGGATCGACAAATCGATCGGCCGAGTTCTCATCTGAGACCCTGTGATTATTCGTCACTCCGTCGCACAGCCAGCTTGTGTTTGTGTGTGCGCAATCCGAGCGGTCCATTAAAGGTGACCCGTGTAGTTATAAGGGCAGTTTAGGCACGAGATATTATGCACTACCCTAGGCTGCTTTTTGGCACTTAATCGATCCTTGATTTTCAGGATCCTGCTGCGCATCGTAGCCTTGGGCAGGTGTGGAGTTCCGACCCCCTAGTCCCGCAGCAGTGCGCTCGGTCGTTTCTGAAACGGCGGAGTATGCCCTATTCTTGGTGGTATTTCTGTTTGAGTCCTTCTTCTATCCCCAACACATTTTCACGAGCGATTAGTAGGACTAATTCCTAGGCTGTTAATCGCCTTTTTTCCTTATATATGTGTGCTCCAGGTTCCCGGTTTCTCGGGTCCCGTGTACATTGACCCCGCCTCGCCCCTGGCTCGGGAGAACTGCAGTTTCGTCGCCTATGCAGAACTGCACACCAGCGCCAAGCCCTTCCTTCGCTGTGAGTTCTGTCCTGACTTATGACAGAACTAACTATTTTAGAGTTGCGAAAATTCCCATAGTAGTAATCAGAAAACGAGGTGGCGAGCATACGTAGCTTTCGACAAATTCTCGTCGTCGGGCCAGTACAGTTATATAGGAACGGGGTAGAAGAAAAACACGTCGGCGATAAGAAAAATCGATAAAAGTTCACCTTAAAACACAGACGGGGTGTGGGATTGTGGGGGAGGGGGGTAGGGGGGGGGGGGGAGAGCAGAAGTGCGCGGGGGGAGTTGCACCGTTAGTCAACCTTCGACCACTGTAGGCGCGGAGCCTGAACGTGGTTCTTCTGTGCGCATAAGGTTGGCTTTCGTAACCTAATGGCGACCGCTTCCGCTGTCGCTAACAGGCGCTGGCCCAGTAGCTTAGCTTAGCTCGATGGGACCTTATAAATCACGCGAAAAGCTTCATTGGGGTCCACACGATGTCCGGAATCGACAACATGCGCGAGAATGGCGCTGCTTATACTCCTAGTTTCGCCTTTTCCCAGCCATGCCGGGAGGTGTTCGCGTATTCTCTTGGATAAGCGCCAACTCGTGCGACCAATATAACCTGCTCCACAGAAGCAAGTGAAGGAATATATGCACATTGAGGCGGTCTGCGGTGGCAACTTATCCTTACCCTCTCTGCGTAAAATCGGGTTAGTAGAGAATGATATTTGAACCCTTGCTGTTGGGAAGGTTCGCGAGACAGCCTGACCAAGGCGTCTCCTTAGGAGTTCACTCGCAGCGTCCCCTTGGAAAGGGACTTTGAGGAACAAAGTTCTCTTTTCAGCGGTTGGTGTGGCGGGTTTGACCGGACTGTACTGGCTCGCCGATAATTTATCGAAAGTTACGTATGCTCGCCACCTCGCCTTCTGATAGCAAACTATTTATCAAGCTTGAAGTTGTTTAATACAGAGAAATCGCAAGTAACGATGAGTTCGTGGTTTTTTTTCACGATTTTACTGAGTCCGAAAACTTGCATTTTTTTCCTATGTGCAGTCTACTGTAGGGCGCTGGTTGTTTGGTGCATTATATCAATCCATCGAAGGTCGCCTGCGAATGTATAGTAAATGTGCTACATCATGAAATGTTGACTGAAATCCCAAATTCATTTTCAATTCGAATAGACTACAATAGTAGTGTTGTAATACTAATTATTGTGCATCGTAGTCCTAAAATATGGCAGTCACGTCAGAATGCCGGCTTTTGAATGAGCTCTTTACGGCTGTTTGCTTAAACCACACTTTTAGAAATGATTGCTTTATTAATATGAAATCTGTTTACTAATTTTATAGAAAAACATGCACGAAAATACTCTTTTGGTAGAAAAAATTACATTTTCTTTAAATTTTACGTGTCACCCCTCAACACTACTCCAACGTCTCTGTTGAATACATTTCATAAAACCTGCAAAGGCGGTATCAGCAGACCCAAACCCTTTAATCCAGAACTACCGTCAACACCTTCAAACTATGCACGTTCTTCAAAACCCTGAATGGATTAGGTATTGAGCCTTACGCGTACAAGCATACGTCATAATGATTGCATTTTGTACAACATTATTAGCAGTAAATGCCAACCATGTTGCCGCATAACGTTACCATGTTTTATATTTCTGCGTTTTTACGGTGCACGCTGCAACCAATTAAAGGCTTGAGGTAAGCACGCTTTTAAATATGCCTCATCCGGGGCAAATAGCCAACTGTAGGTTCGATTATCGTGGTCCGAGGAAACGAATGAGGTGAACATTCTGTCCGGAGTCGGTAACCAAACGCAGGCGTCCACCCAAGGAAGGTCAGAAGCAACCACATAAGCGCGTATTTCGAGAAGGGGTCGGAGGGCGGTAACACGAAAGCGTGTTAGGTTAAACCAACTGATGGGCGCTTATCGGCGCCTCTCGGCCAGCAAATTTACCCTGTCAGTGCTCTCCCTTTCACGGACGCCTAAACGGCACCTAGTCGAAAGGTAGGTTGACCAAAGTTGCCAGTGATGAAACTTCCATGACGGACCTCTGGGCGATTGCAGACACTCAAGAGGCCTAGCGTTGAGACAGGCGCTCTGAATAGGGCCACTACACTAGCAGGCACTGATAGAACCATACATAAAGGACGGCTAGCCCAAACAGTCCCTGAAATAAACACCTCCTATGGACGGACGTCCGAACTGCTTGAAATGGCAAATCTCTTCTGACTTCTTAGACAGCCAACTCAGTGTCTGGGGCAAATACGCCTGTTCTGAGGATGGAGTTAACTATCAGTCTCTTTATAATGCTGAGGATGCGTTTTTTTAAACGATATCGCCTCTTCTCTCCCCTCCGGGGGGCGCTGCTTACATCCCATTGTGCTTTTAAGATGTCTGCGCCATTGCACCCGATTGGATCCCCTTCCTGACGCCACACAGCTACCGCGTGGAGGGACTCTCCGTGATGGAACAAACCGCGGTCGAGGCGCCGACACAGCCCCGTCCTCCAGCTGCCGAGGAAGAACAGAAGGAGGAGAAGGAGGCCGACGATGAGTCTGCGCCTGCGCCAACCACTGCTGCCAGCCTCCCACCACCACACTACGATCCCCAGCAGGACGTCGTGGTTGCCTTCGCCAAGCGCGTCTACTTTGTCGGTGCTGACCTCGTCTCTAGGCCGACGGCAACGACGACCACCCCTGAGGATGTTGGTGGTCTGGACTTCTCTTTTGAGCTGCCCGCCCCTCACGTGCCCATACCACTCAATGGCTCACCTGCCGTGTCCGTCTTGGGCGCCCACGAGTCGCTGGTGTGGGCCGTGCGCTGGTTCGCCCGGGCCCTGCTCGAGGGTGTCGTTTTTCCAAGCCTCCGCGAGTGGCTACCTCGGCGCCTGAAGACCAGCACTCCGACCCGCATGATGACCCTCTCCTGGGGCCTGTGAGTCTCTCGCTCGAATAAACTGTCTGGCACCAGCCTCCGAACTCTTTGCCCCAATTTAACAGTTTACTTTTATGGTTTTGAGTAGCATTTTTAGCTTCATCAGTAATTACCACCTTACCCAATTTTGCTCTGCAGAGTTCGCACAGAAGTTCGAGGCGTGGTGTCAAAACTACTGGCCAAGAAGGTTTCCTCGCGAAGGGCTTTGGAAGCCTGTCTACAAGAAGACCCGCAGTGTAAGCTTCCACTTTTTTATTCCTTACCTCTCCCCTCACTTTGCAGTCCTCATCAAGGAGTTGACGCCTTGGATACAGGAAGAACACCGTTCCTCCTTTCAGACGAAATGGCCGCCATTACCATCGAAGTAGTAGAACATCAAAGTACTTATCTACCTTCATTTTGTAAATTGTAAAATACATGAAACAGAATTATATCGCACCTTGTTTTCCCGTTGTGCAGATTTCGTTGGATTAAGGAAGGGGGTGGAGACGTTTGCAGCGAATGTGCCCAACTTGCACTAGTGATTGTTGTGTAACGGCCAAAAACGTCAAAAATAACACACACACACACACGCCGAGATAGCGAAGCATTGGGAAGATATCCTGGCGAAGATCGATCTGGATGGAGCTGTTAGCATGTCGCAATACTCATCCTTACGCAGGGGAATAAGAAACGTTAAGTAGGCAGTAAGGTATGGTGGGAAGAGACGGAAACTGTGAATAGATATAATAGTAGTTAATTGTACAGACGGGACGAGTTAAAAGGGAGTAACCTGTCTGGATGGAGTGGCGACATCGCATGTCGGCTAAATAACCGGTGGGGAACTGCAGAGGGGGGGGACGAGGGAGGTGCCGACGTTGAGAGAGAGCGCGTGATGCGGGCGTTACGGCAAGTTGCGGGGAGGGGGTCGGCGGTAGATTAAGGGACGGGCACCGGCCGTCCTCACCGACACGCGGTTACGCCATCTCCATCCTAGGTCCGCGCGCCCAGGAGTGTCTCTTGATTCAACCAACCCCATACAGATCATGGGGTGTTACAGTTGCTTATCAGGAGACTGTGTCGAAAAGTACGGGGGAGGGTGGAATGTATGTTTCCGTCCGATTCCCACTTATCAGGCAACTGTGTCGAAATTCTA